CCTTAAGCCACACATGTGGTCTGCCTCCAAACCACAGGGCCATTCCACTTGCTACTGCTGTTGGAAAATCCGAGCAATTAAATGATTGAGTCACAGGAATGTGCATGCAGGGGCCTCTTTGCCACAGGCAGGGTAGCGGGGTGATTGTGGGCTCAGGATCTGGAGCTGGACTGCCTGGGTTTGACTCCCAGCTTGTCCAGGTACTGGGTAAGCTACCTCATCCCTCTGTGCCTCATTGTCTTCTTCTGTAAAATGTGCCCAGTGATGGTACCTACTTACAGGGCGGGTGTGAGGATTAAACGCATTAATATATACAGAGAGCTTAGACGAATATGTGGCACCAAACAAACGCACAGTGTTAGCCTGTGTTGTCATCATCTAGTCCAGTCCCATTCTGCATTCTACATTCTGCAGAGAGGTGGAGTGAACCATCAGGATCACACAGCTTGGCAGTGGTAGCTCCTGGAGTAAGAACTCTGATCTGCTGTGCAGCAGTTCTCAAAGTTCCTGCCTTAGGACCTTTTATATTCTTACAAAGTATCAGTGACATCAAAGAGCTTTTATATTTCTGGGTTATATCTATCGATATGTATTATAGTAGAAATTGAAACAAAAATTTAAAATAAGACTATTAACATGAATGCCATTTTTAATGAAAAGTAGTTATTTTTCAAAACAAAAAACTTAGCAGAATGGCATTGTTTTACAGTTTTGCAACTCTCTTTAATATTTGGCTTAATAGAGCCAGCCCTGATGGTCTAGTGGTTCAAGTTTGGCGCTCGCACCGCTTCGGCAGCCCAGGTTCGGTTCCCAGTTGTGAACCACACCACTCGTCTGACAGTAGCCATGCTGTGGTGGCAGCTCACATAGAAGAACTAGAAGGACTTACAACTAGAATATACAACTAGATAGTGGTGCTTTGGGAAGAAAAAAAAAAAGAGAGAGAGATTGGTAACAGATGTTAGCTCAGGGCGAATCTTGCCCAGCAAAAAAAAATATAGATATATTTGGCTTAATGGACGACAGCTGGATTTTCCTACCTGCTTCTGCATTCTATCTATTGCAGTGTGTGGTTTTAGTTGAAAGATATGAAGAAAACCCAGCCTTGTCACTCCAGACAAGATTCTTGGCCATTTAACATCTAAGAAAACCGTGACCTGGAGAAGTTATGATCCTAGTACCTTCATCGCATCCCATGTTCTGGGTAGTGAATAGGATAACGTGAAAGAAGAGAGAAAAGTCACAGAAGAAAAGTCTGGCAAAAATTAGGCCCTCACAAATATGAGCCAATGTTATGGTATTATGGCCATGGGGGCAAGCCTAAAAAGAATAGACAAAGCAGGACTTCAGGGAGAGAGGGTGGAACTATCTGCAGGTGGGCGCTGTTGTGACATGGGACTTGGAACCTAGTGTTGTGAATTCAGGGGGAGGAGTCACGGGGGACCCCGGAGAAAGAGTTCCCTATTTCACCTACAGTGCAGTGGGCTCTGCTGTGCTTTAATTCTTCTCCACGATGTGTTTCTCAGAGTTATAAATTCAGAGCAACTGAAATTGTCCGTCCACAGCAGATTGCAATAATGCTCCTGTGAGGTAAATCCACCTTTATTCAGCAGTGATACGTGAAGTACAATTGGTAATTCTTATAACGTGGGGATTGGATTGTAGAAAAGCAAAAGGAAAGATAAGACTCTGTACTGTTTGGATTAACCGTAAATCCACTGCAAGCAATTGCAAAAGCCAAAGTTGGGGGGGAAAATCTCTAAATACTTCTTGCAAAACTCTTAAATAATTAACTTCTCTCTTCAGCCTTCCCCACCTCTTCTAAAGAAAGGCGATTTTATTTCCTTCTAAATCTGGTCACACGTTGCCACTCTGAATTACCATCTGCAGTTTGGCAGAGGCCCAGGGACAGTCCAGTAGCAGGTCACTTGGCCAGTATCATGCTTTTAGGTGTGTGGGCGACTACTGTGAACCATCTAAGAGGGTAAACAGAACTGGGTTTTAAATGTTCTCAAGATTCGCCAGCCTCTCCGGGGGGCCAATTTATGTGATCAGAACAGTCAGAAATGGTTTCTCTTGGGACTAACCCGTTTACCTTTGTAAGTTTATCCATTTTCTCTCCCGAATTTATCAGAGGAGATGAACGTCCAGATAGCTGGGGGATGGATAGGATATCCTAGTTGAATCTGTTTTTCTTGGGCCTGCTGGAAAGACTGTTTTGGCAGACAGGCCCGTAAAGATCTTTTAACTCAGGATGAAGAAGAACGACCTCTTCATAATAAAAGACCTTTTATTGGTGGGGTTCCTGTGTTTTTTCTTTCAGCAGCCATCACAGTGTCAGTTTTCTCTCACCCTCCTTGAGGTGACTAAAGTAGGTAGATTGGGCCTCCTTTGTGGCCCCCTCTTTCTTGCAAACTATTAGCCAAACGTGCTGAATCTTGCACATGGGGGGAGAGGGGGATTTGAATGAAAGGCCTTCTAGTGGAAATCGTGTCACTTCATGGTCTGCTGGAGTTATTGAGGCCACCGCATTGATTTTGTGTGTCTAACGCTTGGCTCTGTCAACATGGGCTGGCTGCAATCATCACATTAAGCCATAATCCTACAATTTAAGGTATGTGCTTGGTACCTCCCTGCCTCCAGGCATGCAGAAAGACCATCTCATCTGACCAGGGGGACCCATAGGTGATTGGAAAAATGTGAACCTGTAAGGAAAGTGAAATGGGGATTTCAATGGTGGTATTCAGAAAGCATTCCTGGCCTGTTGGTTTGCAGCTCAAAATGGATTTAAATGAGAATTGTGACCTTGCTTTTAGGTTTTTCATTTCTAGTCCTGATAATAAGCACGAATCTCACCAGAAAGGCTAAACATTAAAGATGCTCTTCCCAAAGACAAATCTCTCTCTCTGTGACTTCTAAAAACGACATGAATATTACCATATAAGGTTGTTTAAACCATTTTTAATTGAGCATCTTTGTGATTGTGAGCAATTACACTGTTGGCACAAGAGACGGTAGTTACCAAATGAGCTCCCTGAATATTTATTTTCCGTGTCAGGGAGTAGGTGTGTTCTAAAAAAGAATGTGCTCTCTCTGTTTCCTACTCAATTTCTGTTCTTTATCTTCCTCTTTTTTATCCCACCCACTTTGCTCTTACCGACTTTTATAATCCCTTTCCACACCCTGAATTTTTCTATTTCTTTGTAATTTGCATCCTGCTTATTTATACAAAATATGTGAGGTTGCTTACAATATTATAACACATAAATCAGGAGAGTGAAGAGAAAAAAGTTAGAGAGAGAGCTTTGTAGCTGAAATCTGAGATCTTGAGCACTACATTTGGATATACGCCTTCTAGAGGCACGGACAGAAAGCACAGTGTATCAGGTTGTGGAGTTCTTTTTAAAATCAGAAGAGCAGTTAAGTTTTTCTTAGTGTCTGTCCTATTTCCTATGCCAGGCAATTCCCATGTTTCTCAAGGTTGGGACTCTACCTACCTCTCCTGTCGCCCCCTCTCCACCCCTCGAGCATCATGAGCTCTGCACAAAACCTATAGGGAAGATCACAGACAGACCCAGGGCTTCCGGCTGGGGTGAGGAAGTTGAACCTTTCAGTTTCTTCCTGAAAGTTGAGTTTATTGGAGTTGGTCCAAAAGCTGACAAAGGCCCCTCAGAGCTGGCCTCTGAGTCAGGACTAGTCCCGACTTTCATCCTGGACTCCTGACCATGATCAGATGAACATCTGGTGGGAAGTGGCGTGAAATCCCAGGGCCCGCTCTACTGAGGAACTATGGTGGTGAAACATCCCTTTCGGGGCTGGGGACCTCTTTCTTGAGAGAGCCTTGGTTAGGGGCTGCGTCTGACCTGCCTCAACATCCCAAGTGCTGACAAGTGAGAAATGGTGTTTGAGTTCCCTTAGGAATGAGGAAATGCATTATATTTCTCTGAATATCTATAGTTTCAATAGATACCAGTGACTTTGGGGAGAGCCTGTTGTCAGGGCTAAATACTTAGCAGTAAAAGCAATAAGGAGGAGGCTGTGCTGTCTGATACGTGGTCCACTAGCCATATGTGACTACTGAGCACTTGAAACGTGGCCAAGTCTGAATTGAGACGTGTTGAGAGTGTAAAATATAAACCAGATTGCAAACACTGGAGTAAAGACTGTGAAATATCTCCATAGTAATATTGTAATGTAAAATATTTCCACATGTAATACTGATTACATGTTGAAATGATAATATATTGAATATAAATAAAACATTATTTTTTTTTTTTTTCCGAGGAAGATCAGCCCTGAACTAACATCCATGCCAATCCTCCTCTTTTTGCTGAGGAAGACCGGCTCTGAGCTAACATCTATTGCCAATCCTCCTCCTTTTTTTCCCCGAAGCCCCAGCAGATAGTTGTCTGTCATAGTTGCACATCCTTCTAGTTGCTGTATGTGGGACGTGGCCTCAGCATGGCCGGAGAAGCGGCGCGTCGGTGCGCACCCGGGATCCGAACCCGGGCCATGAGTAGCGGAGCGCGCACACTTAACCGCTAAGCCACAGGGCCGGCCCAAAACATATTATTAAAATTAATTTTACTTGTTTCTTTTCACTTTTTAATGTGGCCAATTGAAAATTTAAAATTAGTGGCCAGCCCCGTGCCTTAGCGGTTGAGTGCGGGAGCTCCGCTGCTGGCGGCCCGGGTTCAGATCTCGGGCGTGCACCGACGCGCCGCTTCTCCGGCCATGCTGAGGCCGCGTCCCACATACAGCAACTAGAAGGATGTGCAGCTATGACATACAACTAGCTACTGGGGCTTTGGGGGGGAAAATAAATAAATAAAATCTTTAAAAAAAAAAAAGAAAATTTAAAATTAAATGTATGGCTCACATGGTACTTTTGTGGGTCAGCTCTGGTCTAAATATCTCGAATTGAAAAATTTTTTTCTGAGGAATGAATTTCCACTGTGTTCTCTAACTCCCGTGTTCTCTCTTTGGTTCTCTTTCAACAGATGTGACTCTCCACGCAGCATGTCAAGGACATGGATCACCAATTCCCTTATTTTTTTTCTCTTCTACACAATTTCCATTTTCTTTTACACTTGCTTACCCCAGCTGTCTGCAGTACACCAGTTTCAGATATGTGAGTTGTGTAGAATTTCTGTGTACAAATATGTGCTTGGACTTTTCTCTTCCTGAGAAATCTGAAGGGGACGATCACAGAAGATCCACTTACCCCGGGGAACCAATGCCGTGGCCTCGGGCTCAGGGCATTGGGTGGTCTCTGGGCGGTCCCTGGAGCCTCCTTTCTTGGCAGTGCACTGTCCCAGAAACGCCCTAACATGCCATTCCCTGGGGAGAGCCACCAAGTGCCGTGGAGGCGGGGGATCACGCTCTGCCGCAACTGTCTGGTTTCCTGTAAAATAAACACATTACTTTATATTTTTAGGGAACAGAAAAAGTGCTGCTATAGGGTTCAAAATTTTCATTCTGAACACTTTTCCAAAACAAGTTACTCCAAGGAAGCATTTTGAATACCCTGGTCACATCTTTGGATCTGTAAAATACACCTTTTAGTATGGCACCTGTTAAAATGCAAAACAAATTTCTTCAAGGCAGAAAAACAATCTGACGGTAGCAATGTAGAATTTGTTCATTCAAACATATCTCTGTAAATGCAAAAAGTCATAAAATTCACCTCTGAGCTGCTTGCTATTGAACCTGCAGTGACTAGTTTCAGCCAGCCCAGTTTGAACATCATTCCTTGAGAAGTGTTGAAAATGCTGCAAAGTTGGATGAGTGGAAATGGGCTTGCCCCTCTCCATACTTCCTCCTCCTAATCCTACTGGAGCTTGCACTGGGGATGGCCTCTTTCTCTAGGGAACCATCTTAAGCCTTGGGGGGATGTTACTAACGAAATCCAGGATCGTTCCAGCAGTTGAAAAAGGAAGGCTTGGGAGGAAGTAATTGACGAATTTGTGTGCCTATCAATAAGTTGCCATGAATAAGTTGCTATTTTAACCCATCATTGCTGACTGTTTACTTGAGTTCTCTGGTTGGCATCAAATAGGTAGGTTTCATCTTCTTAGGCAGAATTAGAAGAATTTGGTATGGATGGATTTTTTACCTTTAGTTATTGCTGTATTTAAATACATGAATCTAAAGCTGAGTCAACTGTTAACTTCCAGTGCATGTTAAAATGATCAATTTCTAGGTAGTAAAGTTTTCAGGGAAACTGACAAGGATTTGATTAACTTGGTCTTGTGTGCTGCTACTTGTTTTGACAAATTTGAGGGTAAGTCAATGACAACCAAACCAGTCTCCCTGAAAGCACCTATCCTGTCATTGTGCCTGCCCAAGATGAGTGAGCGGACACAGTGCCTGCTGCTGTCACCACTGGAATGAAATGTATGCCGGGGGAGACATTGAGCTTTCTCATCGCTGTGTGGTCCAAGATAGTTCAACAAAGTGTGTGTGTGTGAGTGTGTGTGTGAGTGAGTGAGGATGAAGCACTAAGGACTGTGAATTGACTTCTAAACTCTTCTTGTATAAAATCTCCCTAACCAAGCAAAGCTGCTTTGACTTAATTTATTTGTTAAACGTTGCACTTTGTTTATGCATGTTTTGTTTGTGGAGGAGAGTAAGGAGACAAGAGGACCAATTCTACTGAAGTATTTATTTCTAAAGATGACAATTTTGCATTCATTTACATTTTAAAAATTCTTCTATTTGATTTTCTTATGTTGTTGCCAGTCATCGCCCAATATAACTGCTTGATAGCTATTTGCAGTCTGATAGAAGGGTTCTTGTAGGTCAGGTTTTGCAAACCTTATCAGGTAATAACATAACATAGGCCATAGATTATTGCCTTGCTGTTAACACGTTTGCCTCTGATTTTGGAAGCTAAAACATTGGTCTTTGAGAGGATTGCCAATTCATAATTGTCATACCACTACTATCTATTATGCATCTGTGTAACTTTATGTTTATAAGTTGAACAAAGGTCAGTAATTCTTTTTGGGAGGCTCTCGTTAATAGATTATTTTAGATTCTTTCCAAAGTAATTTTTTCCTGGGTACCCCTTTTCTACTTCTAAAGAATTGCTTGGCCCTTTCATGTTTCAAAGAGAAACATTCACTTATAGTTGCATATTTCTTGATCTCTACAAGGGACTCACAAAATTCACTTTGCTTTTATTCACAGAGAAAGTTGGCTTTGATGTCTCTTAAAGATAATTCTGCTAGTTGCTGATCAGCCAGTCAGTTCACCTAGCTTCAATCTTTATAGGACCTCTAAACTAATTTTCCTACACTGTGACTAAAATGTAGGCAGATTATTGGAATGGATTATACAGTATATTCAAATGGATCCCTAAATGTGACTTTGTATAAAAAGCTAGATTCAGGACCATATACTCTGTAGGCCACTTTTTTAAAAAGGAACATTTATGCAATTTTCATTTTTTTAAACTATTGCTCCTTTACATTTGTACTCTAAATGTAAAAACCATACTTCTGAATGGCCAAGCCTATGATTATATTTTTGGTTGTATGCTGCTTTTTGCTAGTGTGTATGTGTGTGTGTGTGTGTGTGTGCACACGTGTGTGTTTCTCCTCTATGAATAATTTTATATTTCATGCTACTTCTTGAAAGTTTACTTTTGATGCTGTGAGGGAATAGCCAGATGGTTTATACAAATAATCTCTACCTGAAGGATGGTGGATTGTTAAATTAGAGGAATGCTGTTTGGGATATCAAGATTTATGGTTGGAGACTAAAATAGAGTAATGCCAAATGTGTTTTAGTCAATTACTAGAGAATTCTGTACAAATGCATCATTCTCTTCAAATGCTGTACAGTTTGCTTTGTTGAATGGCAGGTAGTAGGGAGAACAATAAGTGTAGATTAAGACTTTTAAAGGAAATAGTATCATATGATTAAGACAATTAGAATTCATAGAAATATTGAGATAAATGAAGAAATAAAAATGTTCGTCTAGAATGTAGCATCTAGTGACTTTTGGAAGCCCTAACTTCACATGAGGAAGTGATATTCCTTCCAAGGCCAGACCAAGCCATCACCAAGACTCTTGGTGGAATCATGAATATCAGCTCTCCTTTTCCAGAGGAATAACTGAAAGCAAATAAAAACTCTTAACAGTCCCTCTTTGATGTGTATTTTTTTTTTATCAGGGCAGAAGATTTTTAGACTCGGGCTGTATGACATGTTGGGGAAGCTTTTCGTTGGCAGGGGCCAAGAGGTAGAGGAAGGGGGAGGATTTGCTCCATTGTCTCGCCCTGAATGTCTTGAGCAAGCTAAAGAAACCATCATAGTCTAAAATGGCTTCATTTAACACTAACAATGTAGACTTTTTAAAAGTATCAAATAAGGGCCAGGTTACTACCAAAGTAAGCACCGCTCCATGAAGTCTGCTTACACATTTACAAATTATGTATCAGTTTTAAATACTTATCCTTGTGTGCAGCTATAAGGGGAATAGGGCACTCTGTAGAATTTTACATGTCTAGTTTGTAAAGTATGTCGTGTGTACTGCAGATGTGTGTTCTCTGGGCTTTATGTATCTGTACAGTAGCTTTCATTAAACAAACTGTGGACAAACTTGTTTTGGTGGTTTGAGGGGGAGAATGCCAGTTTATATCAATTAATGATGCTGTAATATAGTACATGTAACAAAAGATCTGGAAGTAACCCTCCCCTGGCCCGTGGAAAATTTTGGCTATCTTCTAGGTTCTAAAATGAAGATGTATGGACACTCTGGCAGACTGCATGTTGTATAATTTGAAAAATACTAAAAGTGGAAAATAAAATTGAATTAAACTTTGGCTTGTCTGTTTTTTCTTATTTGAGTCATCCTAAAGGCACTCTCATTTAAGCCCTCACTGCCAGTGTTAGGATGAGCCATTGTCTGGCCTCAAAGGAGTTCATTTCCGTTAGCAGCTGCTCGAATTAGAAGCATGAGTAAAGGCAACCTTGACCTTTTTGTCTTTTACTTTGCTTGAATATCTGTTTTTAATTTTTTTTTTTAATTGAAGAACGAAGAAAACCTGACATTTGTTCCTTCAACACTGAAAGGTAGCGACTGGTGTCATTAAGTGTCTTACCTTTTTTAAAAGTAGGATTGAGCTAAAGCTCAGTAGACCAGTATCTTAGCTGAATTTCTTCTTGACCAAGAAAGGTACTTATTCCACTCGTACATTTCAGAACATTGGCGTTCATCAACTAATGCATTGGAGTTCAGTCTATGTTGAGATTATTGGCATCTTTTGAGAAGGGTTGGGGTGTTTGTATTCATGTTTAACCTACTGATTACTAGTAGTATTACAGGTCTGAGATCTTGTGAGAGGATGCTAGAGTGGGAAGCCTTTGGAGAACAATGAATGGCAGGACACGGGATTATTGTTATCTGCTCTCTTAGCAAGGAGACTTCCCTCCCTGGGGTCCCTGGAATCCAGCGGCCACGCATGGCACTGTGTATGTGAAACACCCTCCTTCTCGTTCTTGGTTTGGTTAATGTTGCATGAAAGCCAGACAGTAAACTGCTTTAATCAATTAAAAGTGGGAAGGAGGGATGCCAAATGAACGTTTTGTAAGTGGAATTTAGGGCACTGCTCATGATGCGCTTTTATGATGTCTTATCCGTCTTTCTTGAAGTTGTTATTCTCCAAAGAACTTGGAAGAGGCGGTTTCCAGATACCCGATTATTAAAGGTGACTTATGTAGTCAAATTTCAAATGTGGTGGATGAATATTTAGGCTGAAGCCTGCTATTTGAGATGGGAAAGCAGTCCCCTGAAAAAACCTGATTGAAAGCAAATTTCAATATCAGTAGGAAATGATCCCACAGGTCCCCAAACGCAGCAGAACGCAGCGGCTCTGCAAAGCAGTAGGACTGCGTTGACACCCAGTGTTCCCTGGGTTCCTGCAAGTCTTTCTTGAGGTTTCCTGTTCTTTCGAGCTCTGGACAGTGCTTGGGCTGTGCCTTGGAAGTGTTACCGAGCCAGGATCGTTTTTGCCAGTCGCCCACAAAGCCAAACACCGAGATGAGATTGCAGCAGAGAGCGGGTTTTAATCACAAGGCAGCTAAGTGAGGAAATGGGAGAATGAGTCTCAAATCCGCCTCCACGAAAAGGGGGGCTCAGGGATATTTATTGGGTAGGGGGCAGGGTGGTCTGAAGTGTAGAGATAGATGATTGGAGGTGAGGAGTGGTGAGGTAATTGATGATCTGTGCAAGCGTAGTCAAACTTTATGCCTCTTCATAGGACGCATGTTCACAAAATGGCGGCGTTAGCATTACCTGAGGGTGGAGTTTGTAGCCTCTTGACGTCAAAAGGTCACTTAATGGGCATCTGCGCAGGCCCAGTTGATGGGTTGGTGTTCTCAACTGGCCTGAACTGGACAAAGGGGTCCTAATTCCTGAAAAACACCTCAAACACCCATTACCATGGTGACCCAGCCCCAAGGGAGATGTTATCTCCGGGAACCTAGTTGGAGTCAGATAGCATATTGCCTAAGCAGCACAGTTAACAATGGGTAGGTGGACAGCTAAAAGCTATAATCAATAATTGCAAAAAAGATAAAAAAACTTTAGTTACTAGCTACTTAATCATCAATGGCTAACTGTTTACCAGTTTCAGAAGTACAGACCTGGAGCATCTGTGGGAGAATGTGGAACTGAAGCTGTAATCTGCAAAAGCAATTACTGATGGCAGGTTTAATTCTAGCATTTGTGACAGGTTACATCTTGTGATCTGTGTTATGTACATAATAAATTGAACAGAAGCAGGAAGCATCACATCAGATGAAAATGTGGACTCACTTGACAGAAGGCACCCTGAGCAGTGGGATTTTTACCCTCATTCGGTGTTGTTGGTTCTTCATCCAGTCTGCAAGGAAAACACAATCTCTATGTGGTCAGTTGGTTTCAAAATAATACAACTCCCAGGTAGCCCCTGTGGATCCTTCCGCTTGCCACACCATGGATAGAAAAGGCTGGAATTCTCTATCTGCTTCGCTTCCCCAGTGCAGAGGAGTTTCTGTTTGGGAGCCCCTCCCCGTGTAGCACCCTCCAAGCCCGTACCCTTCCTCATGACCAGGCTGCAAATTATTCTCATAGTATAGCTTTTCAAAAGATTTACCTATAATATTTTACTCCCGCAGAAAGTAGTATACATGAAATTAGAGAAATGGGCAAACTTGCTCTGGATGACATGTATCAGCACCAGGAACTTATAATGCTCAGAACGATGCAATAAGCAGTCAATTAATGCCAAAGACCAATCTGGCTGTCTGCCAGACACTGTTTTAAGTGCTTTATATGTATTAATCCATCTAATCCTCCTAATAACCCCATGAGGTAGGCATCATTATCTCCACTTTACCAGGAAGGAAACAGGCACGGAGAAGTTAAAGTAACTTGCCCAAGGTCTCACAGCTGGCAGGAGGAGGAGCCAGGATTGAAACCCTGGCAGTCTGGTCCTAATGTTAGTGCTCTCAACAGCTAGCAACACTGCCTCTCAGAACACTGCTGTGTGTGTGTGTGTGTGTGTGTGTGTGTGTGTGTGTGTAGTGATAACCAGCAACCAGCCTC